TCCCTAAACACCTGAATTTATCTTCCTCAAAGGGAAAAACCTTCAACATGAGAAGTTAATAACATGGAGCAGGAGGTGGGGGGGAGCAACAGGATCGTGCCTGTTTTATCTAGAGACAGAAGCACCAAAATATTAAAACCTTTAGGGTACCACCTATTTCTGTCTTTCTGATGACAGTAGCTTTGCTAAAGCTATATAAAGTAAAATGTGATACTTGGTGATTTAAAATTATTTTAAAAGGAACAAATACATGTGATAGGAAAAGATCTTCAATTTCTTTGATGCATATATAAATCTGCTCTCAGTACTGCTGAGATGTACACACAGCCACAGTGGAAAGGTAGGAAGCCTTTCACTCCTTTGGCAAGAAGTCAACAAAAGATAGAGTCTTGACGTAATTATGAAATACCTGTCAATGCTGCCATTTGAGATAAAATCCAATGAGATACTTTAGTTTCTAAATCCAAGGGGAGTCTGAATGATGTAACAAAACATACAGGGAAACACAGCCTATATTTGGAGACAAATAATTTTATTTGTGCATGTATCTGTGTCTGGTTTCCCTCGGTCCCAGGGAAATAACACCCATCGTTGAGACTGGATTTGCTGCGGGGGCTCCCTGTGAGAGTCTCTCCCATCCAAAGAACAGCAGAGCAAAAGAGAGGTGCCTGCCTTCATCCAGTGCATGCCCACACTACCTCACTAACTCCCACTGCTACCTGCTCCGGGGTCGTGGGTAGGGGGGGACAGCAGTGGGAAAAGAAAAGGGTGCGGTGACCACGGTGATCCCCACAGTGCCTGCGGGCTCCTCACAACCCTTGCTTGTTACCAGGACTGGGGGTGGGAAGAGAACTTACCCCTCTGTGGGTTATCTACTCTTGCGAACACGTGAGAAATTGTGCATTTTGGAGAAATGGTCCAGATTTCTTTAGATTAAAGCTGCTAAAATTTATTGTTCATTAGTCCCATGTCCAGCCTTAATAGTATGGGAATACTATCACCCCATTCCTCAAAGGTAAAGTTGCTTCTCCATCTAAATTTCTTGTTGGCCCTGCTTTCTCCTGATATGTCAGGGCAAAAATAAAAGAAATCTTTGCAATTTACCTCATGGGCTTTGTGGGATTCTGTATGAAGATGGAGGCCATTCCTGGTTCCCCAGTGAGCAAACATATTAATATTTTCAATTTCTTTACATGCTGGCCAATAAATATATTACCAGAATACAATAACTAAATTACTAATAAATTTAGCAAAATTAAGTATTTTTGGCCTTTTCCACTCATCCTGTCTGTTGCCTTCTCAGAGAGAGATTTTGGATTCAATCTAAAAATTTGACTATTTTCTTCCCTGCTTCTCACTGTCTCATTGCACAAGGCACAATACTTTCACCATTATCTTAGTACCACTTTGCCCTCTTCCCTACAGTTTACCACAACTAATAGATACGGCCTTAGCCCAAAGTAGATTTTATTTTCTAGTAGGGCTACAACCAGCAAAAAATACCCAGAGATCCAGGTATTTTTATACTAAGTTACAGTTAGAAACATAATTTTTTCAGCTCAGTGCTATGATTTCACAAAAATCTTTGGGTTGCTTTATCTTCACCCCCACTGTAATATCAAATTGGCTGGTGATATGATACTGACAGTATAAGTCATTACAGGTCTGACGTTACAGTTGTTACACATTGCTGAATCTGTCAAATGGAAAGGGAGCACAAAGGGAATTTCCAAATGCAGCTGCTATTTCCCATTTGTTAAATCCTTTTATTACACCATATAAGTACACAGCTGGGAAATACTATAGAGTAGGAGTTAAAACAAAATATTTTGGCTTCCAGACATTCAGAATACACAAAGGACTCCGTGGAAAGCAATGCCTGATATCAAAAGGGAGTGAAAGTTTGAAAACATTTCTAGCCAGTGTGTTTTTTTCCTGATAATGAACAATGTAGTTTAAAGGTATCTTACAGAAAGTGCTGCGTACCATAAATGTTGGGTAAAAACGCAAATTTTTTTCACTAAAATTGCCCTCCTATGGTATCTTTTCTAAACTTGAGATCTGTACAGCCCTCGTAGCAAATTATGATGCATACTGTGTGCTCTTTCAAATTCCAGTGAACTCCTTAGTAGTTTTAAGGACAGAAAGGATACAGGATTGTGCTCTTAATTAGATACCAGATAAAAGAGAAATTTTTCCTCCCCATATGTCGACACAGCATTCTTTGAATTTACTATCTTTTAAGCAGACAACACACATTATTGATGCATTTTAATGACAGCACTACTGTCTTTACTTTCAAAGTAAATGCTATGAACAGGTGCTTCTTCAAATCTGCTTCTAAAGGATCCGTCTGGGAAAGGTCAGAAAGTGCTTACCTTCTGGGAATTTGGGTTTATTAAGTAAAAAAGCGGCCAGTGCCACAGCACCTATCTCAGAATTGCCCAACCCACCTCCTGGAATCTGTCTTTCTGGAAAGAAACATCTATCCTCCCTCTGAGGAGCATGAACATGTTTTCATCAGGATAGTTGCAGGCCCCTCTAAATTCTTTCTTAACAATATAAATGCCTGCTTGACTGAGATACTTCAGAGAAAGTTTCTGCAAGGAATATAGGCTTAAATGTTTGCTGATAAAGAACGTATTTAAGTCAGAAAAAAAAAAATGAAGAATTGAACAAGGTACTTAAATGGCAGTCCTTCAAGGAGGAAAAAAAAATTCCCCAGTTCACTGTTGTGATCTCACAACTTAACTAAGTCACCTAACTTTAAATACACTTGGACCTTGCTCTTTACATTTAGAGCTCTTTTAATTGCAACCAAAAAACATGTCAGAATTTCAGTCTTCACTGGTAGCCAAGCCTTGTAAATTAGACCCTGCTTTGAGTTGGGAAGAAAAAAAAATCCATTTGGTTTAACTGAGAGCTTGTGAAATAAGGCTGACATATATCCACCACCAGATTTAAGCCTAGGGACTTGTGGAAACTGCTAATGATTTTCAGGACATTCATCTACATGGAATATTTACTGGAAAAAGGAGATAGGAAAACCAGAGTGCTAAGTCCCTCAAGCAAAGTTTATGCACCTGTTCTGAAACCTGAGAGGCTGTGCAGCAATTCGTGCCTGTCCAGAGGTACAGCGAGAGTTGACATGACAGTGCAGCATTAGGAAAGGAAGCAGAGATTGCTCTCTGCCACAGGGACTGCAAACCTCTTCAGAGCATTATGAGCACAAATGATCACTCTGTACAAGGGCCAACCATTCTGGCTCACTCCAGGTCCAAGGAACAGGCTGAACCAAGAAAAAAAAAAAAAAAAAAAAAATTGCATGGAGGGATTGCTGGAATCTAGGAGTCCCTTTCTCTCTAGGACACGGAGTAATTTTATCTATGATACTGGTGTCCTAACAGTAAAATTCCAAGAGTGCACCTGCCTCTCAAAATGAATGGAGAAGTAGCTGATGAATTCACAGATTAACTTTTTCCATCAACAAACTGGATCAGTCCTTTCTAGTCTGCATGCAGCTTATCCTCCTGATAACACAGAAGTCAAAATTATTCTAATGCCTTTATTGCATAACTTGGGCAAAAGAATGACTCTCTGTCCAAAATTCTGAATATAAACCATATATACAACTTACAACCTACCTCTCCAAATTACTAAGCTATAATAATTTTTCTTTAAATCACTTTAAAGTGATTTTGCAGTGGAAGTTTTGCCTTCTTCATGACAGTCACCCAAATACCTAAGAATATTTTAGGCCTGACAAAGTTCTGCACTGGGTTAAATTGTGCATTATAGATTAGATAGCAATTTTCTGGTTTGGTTTGATCTCTTCAATCAATTGGATTTTAGGAGAGAAAAAAAAAACAACATTATTTGAACAAAATAAATCTTATTGCAGTTCTATTATTTAACTAATTCCAGACATGATAATAGGTACAAAGAACTCTGGTAAATGCGTTAGATTTATTATATCTAGTCAAATATTAAATGAGTCCATTATTGTTGGTGGTGCTAAAAAAATTCTGCAATTGTGCTTAACAGTATTAAAATCTGGTGATTTGTACCAGAAAAAATTGATATTTCTAAAAAAAGTTTGCTCATAGATATTTAATAGAAATTGAGAAATTTTATGAAAATTCAGATTATTCTTTCTAAGCTAATTGTCTGAATTTAAGGTTTTTGAAAGTCACTTTCCAGAGAGTCTGAAATTATGATATGCTAAATTTACAGCGCACCTGGCTGCTCCACATATCTTAATCCCATTTCTGAGGAACACACACAAGGGAAATAAATTGACTAAGATGCTCTGCCCATTCAGCCTTCATTCAGCCTGCCCATTTATTGCAGAGTTTTGGGGATTCAGAGACAGAGCTACAACCACTAAATAAATTTTATTTAGGCTACTGAAGAGACCAGGGATAATATTTCTGATCATTTCCAATGTCACTTGTGACTAAGTGGTGATCTAGCTACTTCTAAACACCTTTCACCTCCACAAAAAGTTGTAATTTCCTAAAAGCACAGTAGGATGTTTGTCACCTAAAATACCAGCTTCTTTGTCGTCGTGTAAAAATATAATATTCTAGATTTGGTAGGTCCTGTTTCTGAGAGATGAGTAAAAAAATACATTAAAGTTTCTTCCTTCAGCACAACACTTTGCAGATGACAGTTGTGAGCTACGTCCCCCTGTCAGAAATTAATGCTTGAATATATGAGCTAGAGAGGTTATGACATAAATCAAGGTATGAATGAAAACATGATAAATAGATGCATTTCCTTTCAGAAGGTGAACTCATCAAATGACCTCATTCCAATAGACCTGTATACTTAAATAAATTATACAATTGTAATTTACAATTACACCATACGATGTTGATCTACTGCCGACGCTTTAACATTTAAAATGCTTTACACCTGCACACGTCTTCCCAAAGGGCAGTGAGCAATCTCCTACAACACTAAATCTGGAAAGCCCCTGTGGGGATGGCGAAACTCACCATTCTGTGTTGGGCTGAGATTACTCCATCCCACTCGGGGTCCTGCTGGATGGTGGTGACCAAGGTCGGTAGCTCCTCAGAGTGAGGTTTGTTGTGCATGACATTGTGTAGAGGCAGATGAGAGGCCGCGTGCTGATCACTGTTGCCCTCCTCCTTGTCTCGGGATGCTAAGTCCTGGGTCATTGTTTCCTCTCCATCAGCTGCACATGCAAATGGAGAGGTAGCCTGCTTGGAAGACATTCTTCTGTGAGACAAGAAAAGGGGACAAAAAAGAAAATATTGGTGCTCAGTTACAAAAAAAATCAAGCTCAAAACAGTCCTCTGAGCGCATCACACCTGCCTAGAACGGTAACAAATTAATCACCTGCAGTCAACAGAAGTACTCAAAAAAGCACAGGCTTGGGGGTGTGGATCCAAAACCCTGTGGAAAAGTGTTCCTTTATGCCAAGACAAGGTCAGGGTTAAGTTATATGACATCATTCTATTCATTTAGACTTTTCAAACAATATAATTTTCTCCAGTCATAAGAAAATAGTGCTTTTATTGGTATTTCATGTTAATTTTGTTGATGAATTCAATTCTTTAAACTCTTTACTCCCATGAGCAACCTGAAGCTTACAAGCAAATGTTTAAAGGAGAGACCTCATCATGCTTGCCTGATTCCTTTGCAAGCAGAAGATGCTTTCTACATATATGAGACTCAATTCTAAATCTATTTCAAAATCTGCTAAATGAGTCCTTTTGCTGTTTGTTTAAAGGTGTACTGCATTTAGATGGTTTAAATTTTTGCCCAGCTTTATTTTTCAGAAAGTGTTTTGAGAAGTTCATGTGAAAGGTGTTCTCAACCTAAAAGGTTTATTAAATGGATGGATAATACCTTAGTAACATTTTACAGTTCAAATGAAAAACCTAAAATAATTTTGTTTCCTTTCATATTAGACATGAAATACAGGATCTAGCTCAACAAATTTCTTTAAATTACTTAAAAGTGCAGTGAATAAATGCACTGATTTATGTTAAATGCCTTTTCCTAATAATGGCCTCTTACTACCATCTCATATGCAAACACAGCTTTCGCCACAGTTTCTGCACTTAGATGAAAATATTACTGACTTCAACTTAAAATCTGAAAACACTGTCATTTAAAATTTCTAGTAAGATTAACTGCAACTGTTAAAACAATCATTAATAAACTTGAAAAGGGACAGCTAAAATATATTAGTTATTTTCCCAGGTCTTAGTAACTTCAGAACTTTCCTTGACACCGAAATTGCTGAGAAACTAAGGAATAAGATCTTCACCTTAATTGCTTTTTAACAATAATTGATTTCATACCATTTCTTTAAAAATGCACAAATCAGTTAACATAGGAAACCACATGAGCATTTTTCAAATTAGCAAATCATTAACTTGCTAGTACTGTTTCTACAGACAAATAAATACTGATTAAAGGGTCTGGAAATCTGAGACTAACAGTTAAATTTACAAATCTGTCACATGCTTTCATGAATATTACAGTGAAGGAAATATCAAGTGCAAAGAAAAATAATTAAGTTAATTCCAATTTAAACAGTAGTTTTTATGTAGCAGCCTGTGTTTCACATAGGATTTAACAGCTAATGCTAAATTTCTCACAATTAATGAGGGAGTTCAGATTTAGTATCCTACAGTGAAAAAAAAATTAATATAGGATCAACTAATCTAATTATGTACAGTTCAATATGAAAGTATTACAAGCTTTGAAGTGCTCTGAAACATATTAAAACACTGATACCTATTTAGAATAACTATTCTGTAAATAGAGATAATCCTGCCTCTTAAACTCGATACTGGTGGGGAAAAAAATGGTTTGTGTTTTCTTTAGGGAAGCCTAAGTGTAAGTGGGAGTCTAACATGAGTGTTGCCAATAAGCAGAACTGAGGAATTTAAACCGTGCATTACATTCTTCCTATGCTAAAGAATTTGTGTTGATGCTACAGAGAACATGCCAAGAGTTCAGCAACCGGCGTTATCGTGTGTACTTCAAAAGGTTCTGGCTCATAATTGCTATGATCCAAGATAAAATAAAAGGTTGCTTTCCCTTTTCTCATTAAAGTAGTCACATTAATGCAATCACTCACATGAAAATATAAGTCATGCTTTGCGTAATTTGAAAACCCGACATGAAAACCGAAAGTCACAATAAAGGTTTTTCCTTTCTTTCACCTTCCCAACAGATCTCATTCCTGTTTCATACTGAACGAGCTTCTGTGTAAAGCAAGAGCTATGGCTGTTTCTTCACCATAAATTAATCATGACACAAAACTAGGAATGAAAATGTCTCTTAAGAATAATTTCAACTACAAACTGCACCAATGAATAATACTGCACAATCCTAATTAAACACAACTCTGCAGCTGCAAAAATAGGCTGAATCTGTCCAAAGCTACGAGTTGGCTTTAAAGGCTGGTTTGTTAGGGACTGTTTTCTTAAGGAAGGCTGGGCCCTCAGTCTTAATCAGCCAATAAATTATTTCCTGCAATTACATTAAATAGAAAATTATCTTCAAATTGGGAATGTTAATTGAAAATCAAAATTCAGACTGAAGTTTAGAAATTACATGCTGAATATAATTAGTCTAGAAAGGCTTCACCTCTATTTCATAAACAGGCTTTTGGTGTTTCCCCAAGTGACCATTCAGCAAAGCTATCTACTGGTAATACACTATAGGGGAAGCATTTTTTCCTTGACACATACACTAATGTACTTTCCTCTTATTCGTGATGTTTTAAACACAATTCAATAAAAATATCTATTCAATTGCTGTAAAGTTGATTGCATCAAGAGAAGGGACTTTGTTAACAATAAAAATAAAATTATAAATAGTCCCATTGACTAATAATCTCAAGCCATGCCCAGAAGCTTTTTTTCTGCACTGGAGTAAGACAACAGACCAAGGGTAGGGTTCAAGTGTTTCCTGGCTCCACCCACCACTTTTCTCCACTGCTGCATTATGGACAGACACCTTCCATGCTGCACTTTAGTCAGTCACCTATAAGTTTTGGAGCCTGGAAGGGAAGACAGGCTCAGGCAGGCCTCCCAGGCACTTGTTTTCTTGTGGCATAATTTTAGGGGCATGTTTCACTTCTATTTTCTCCAAAGGTTTGCTAAAACAACTAGATTTAATGGTAACTTTTTGGTTGTTAGATTTAAAACATTGGATTTAAAGGCACAGATATGCCTACAGCTGTGTAGGGGCCTGTTAGATTAAGCCCTCCACATCCTTTTTCCAGTATAATCATTAATTCAAAGAATATAGTTCATTTGGACATGGCTTTCTGAGGGTGTCCAGTTATGCCTGGGTTTGCAATCAGGAAAGCAGAGCAAATTTAAACTCTGCAGATGGGTGTTATCCAGCAATTTGGGAGAATTCTGAACACATGATTCCATCAGGTCAAAAGTCAGAGTTCAGTCAATAACTTCAAGGTCTCATTCAATTCCAGTGGAGAAGACTCTGGCCCAGCTGAGTCGTTTATGTTTATGATAAAATTAAGCCGTAGAGCAGCGTGTTGTGTTAAAATATTTCAATGTTAAAATATGAGCATGAATAGCAGTCAAATTTTAAGCCATAACAACTTCCCAATTTTATATTTAAAATATTCAAAATGCATTTGCTAAACATCCCTGCTGAGAGGGGGAAAAAAATCAATATTCATAATAAATAAGGCTTGTAAAACGTATCAGAAATTTACTAATTTCCATTATAATTTTTTTTTCTGCTATTATCAATTAAACTCACTGGCATAATTTTTAAAAAAAAAGTTTCTGATAAAAAAATATCTTCCTAGTTATAACCCCTGCAAACAGGGGTTTATAATGGAAGTGCTGACACAACCCTAACTACAGCAGCGCAAATGGTGCCGCTATAATACACAAAATCAAGTTCTATTATTCTAAACTATCCTCGCTCGGGGGGTTTTCTTTACTGTGCTCCCAGACAAACTGCTGAAGCATGAAAAATTTAAATGCAATCAAGTGGGTCCAATTCTACTTTACTAGAACAAGTGTCTACAGTGGTACAATCTTAAAAGAAGATGCAACAGATTTGTTTGGTGCTTTTCTTTCTTTTTTCTTTTTTAGCTGTTTATTTATAATACTGTGCAGTGGAGATAAAATAAGAGAGGAAATTACACTCACATTATATCAGTATATTGATTACACAGCACACAATCAGAAAGAAAACTACATTGTGAAATTGTTGCTTTGGTTAAATTGACAGATTAGCTGAACACAGCAATCACCAAAGGTGGAAAATATATCTAATGGGTATGAGAAAAGGTTGAAAAAGGCCCTAATTAACTGAAGTCCTATCGCCTACTCAAGTCTGAGAATTTAAAAATCTTGATCCATATTTTCCAACACTAGAATAAATCCTACCTCATTTTGAATTTGAGACATAAACAAAATGTGATCATTTATCAGAAGGTCAGTAAACCTGAAGGATTGGACCCCAGCTTCAAACATCCTCAGGTAGAAAACTAAAATTGAACTCCTCTGGGCTTTTTTACCTACAAAAAGCTAAACAGAGTCCCAAACAGCTTCATTTGCTATAGATATGACCTGATTTTTTATTTTAAACCAGAGAAGAAATTCTCTCTGCCCTAAAGAAGACAGCCAGTCAGATTAAAAGAACATTGGTTTTCCTTTTTTCCTACATCTAGTGTGTGTTATACCTTTCTAAATGCAAATTTTAATACTTTTTTTTGTCTAAGGTTTTCCTACGGTCTCAAGTTCTTAAAAAAATGTGTATCCTCTTTTTGAAAACAATTAGCTGATAGTCCTGACATAAAAGGTTTCCAAAGCCGGAAAAATCATCCATCCCTGTTGACTGCTCAAATGATTAAATGTTACATTAGAAATTAAGGCAAGACATGGAGTTTCAGCTGCCAGACGTTTCAGAATCAAGCCACGAAGTACAACAGATAACAACGATGACCCAGACACCATTCCAAAAACATAAAAACTGAGCAATAACAATGAGATATATGACAAAGCAGACTTATAGTTGGCTGGGGACTCTTGCTTCTGCTCTGCTCCACCCTCACAAAGCATTCATAAACCTAGAGGCATGTCTACACTGCAGCCACATAAATGACTGCTTTGTAATGCTCAGATATCCAAACTAATTTTAAACAACCTTGCTTCTGATAGCTCTCCAACTACAGTAGCGTGGTGCTCAGATGGACTAATTCATCCTGCTTTAGT